ACTTGTGCTGGCTCTGCCCCTGATCTGCCTGAAAAAGCCAATCCTACGGGGAAGTTTTGTAATTTGCTCAGACCACCACTTCTGATGATGTCAGCAGACAGTCAATTCCGAGGCAGAGCCAGCAGCTGCAGACTTGAATACAAGTTATATTTTACTATACTTAGGGAGGCAAGAAGGGGCCAGGGTGGTGGTTTTAGCATAATAGGGTCAGAAATACATGATTGTGTTCCTGACCCTATAGTGCTCCTTTAAGCAAGAGTATGTGAAGAGTAGTTAGGGTTGCCACCTTTCTTGGAAAAAATACCAGCCTTAATCATTTGTATAATCACAAAGAGTGACATCAGAGAAAATTCTGTAAAATCACCAACAAACTTTTGATTCTACTGTATAGATTCTGCTGTATAGATGGATTGCTCCCAGTGTCTCAGTCTCGCAAGTCACCCAGTGTCTCAGTGTCCCTATGTATCACAGTGTCAGTGTCCCCATGTCGCCCAGTCCCCTAGTCTCCCAGTGTCTCAGTGTCCTCATTTCTCCCAGTGTCCCAATGTCTCAGTGTGTCCCCATGTCACTAGGATACAGGGGACACAGTGAGACATGGGGACACAGTGAGACATGGGGACACTGAGAGATATGGGGACACAGAGACATGGGGACACAGAGACATGGGGACACTGGGAGACATGGGGACACTGATACATTTAGGGAAACTGGGAGAAATGGGGACACTGAGACACTAGGAGACATGGGGACACTGAAACATTTGGGGACACAGAGACACTAGGGACACAAAGACATGGGAACACAGACACTGGAGACTAGGGGACAGGGGGATACTGGCTGGGAGACAGACACTTGGGAACACTGGGAGACATGGGGACAGTTGTGGACATAGACATGGGGACACTGGGACATATAGGGACACTGGGAGACCTGGGGACACTAGGCACACTGAGACACTAGGAACACAGACACTGGGATACATGGGGACACTGAAACACTAGGGACACAGAGACATGGGGACACTGGGAGACTATGGGACACAGACACTGGGAGACTTGGGGACAGTTGTGGACATAGACATGGGGACACTGGGACATATAGGGACTTTAGGCCCACTGAGAAACATGGGACACAGACACTGGGAGACTTAGGGACACTGAGACACTATCGACACTGGATGGGGGACATGGGGAAACTGGGAGAAATGGGGACATAGTGTCTCCGTGTCCCAATGTCTCAGTGTCTCCCAATGTCACTATGTCTCACAGCATCCCCATGTGTCTCAGCATCCCCATGTGTCTCAGCGTCCCCATGTGTCCCAGTGTCCCCTAGTGTCTCAGTGTCCCCATGTTTTCCAGTGTCCCCAAGTGTCTCAGTGTTTCCAGGTCTCCCTGTCTCAGTGTTTCCAGGTCTCCCAGTCTCTGTGTCCCCATGTGTCCTAGTGTCTCAGTGTCCCCTAGTGTCTGTGTCCCCATGTGTCCCCTAGTGTCTCAGTGTCCCCATATGTCCCCTAGTGTCTCAGTGTCCCCTAGTGTCTCAGTGTCCACATGTGTCCCCTAGTGTCTCAGTGTCCCCATGTCTCCCTGCTGCCTTTCCCCCCATCCCGCCTTTCCCCCCATCCCTCACCTAAGCTGTAGAGTTGCTGTATGGACTCTGTGCTGTGTTGCTGCTCCCCCACGGATCAGTAAGTAGTAGAGAGAGGCAGAGATATGCTGTAACTTCCTATCCCTGCCTCTTTCCACACACAGTGACCCCTACTGGCCGGTGCTGGTATTGCAGAGTAATCTCCATTTATTCTGAGAAAAATACATGCATTTGTATTGCCGGTATTACTGCGATACCGACACGGCCAGGCAGCCTCAAATACCGGCTGTGACAGTAAAATACCAGTCAGGTGGCAAACCTAAGAGTAGTGTGTAAAAAAAAAAAAAAAAAAAAAATTTTTTTTTTTTTTTTTTTAAATGGGCCTATTCCATGGGCCTGGGCCTGGAGCTGCAGCTCCATCAGCCCCTATGTTAATCCGGCCCTGGCTGTGTTGTGTGCTAGCTGTATGTACTATGTGTGTGTGTTGTGTGCTAGCTGTATGTACTGTGTGTGTTGTGTGCTAGCTGTATGTACTGTGTGTGTGTTGTGTGCTGTGTGTGTGTGTGGTGTGTGCTGGCTGTATGTACTGTGTGTGTGTGTTGTGTGCTGGCTGTGTGTGTGTGTGTGTGTGTGCAGGCTGTAGTGTGTGTGTGTGTGTTGTGTGCTAGCTGTATGTACTGTGTGTGTTGTGTTGTGTGCTAGCTGTATGTACTGTGTGTGTGTGTGTTGTGTGCTGGCTGTGTGTGTGTGCAGGCTGTAGTGTGTGTGTGTGTGTTGTGTGCTAGCTGTATGTACTGTGTGTGTTGTGTGCTAGCTGTATGTACTGTGAGTGTGTTGTGTGCTGTGTGTATGGTGTGTGCTAGCTGTATGTACTGTGTGTGTGTGTTGTGTGCTAGCTGTATGTACTTTGTGTGCACAGTTCAGATGTATTCTTAGTGCTTCCACATACTTCACAAGTCTAACTATTAAAGTCTGACCTTTTCAGTCTGTTTTACAGTTTACCACCATTCACCGTTTAGTGAATAAACCCCTCCAATTCGGTTCTCCAATGTGTGTGAATAAATCACCATTAAGGAATACACCATTTACTTCTCGTTTTTAGGGCCTTTTAATTATTATATATTGGGTTTAAGAGCTGATCACTTATCGGATTTGAATGTTTGGTTTTCCAGTGTTTTAGTTACTCATCCCACTTTCTTGTAGTTGACTGGAAGAAGCAGGACATCTTTGCTTGTGACTACCGTCCCCCATTTGTGTCAAGGTACGGAGAAGTTATGAATCGTGGGCTTTCCATCACTGGTGTTAGACTGAACCATCAGCTGGCTAGCTAACCCATATATTGCTCTGCACAATCTTTTCAGCCTACTTTAGCCTCTTTCATAAATGAATGTTCTGACCAATGGCTTTTGGCTGAACAGATTCACTTACTGTTGTTGCCTCTTTTCAGACTCAAAGGAAGCTTCATTGACAGAAAGAAAGGGCAACTTGAGACTTGCATGTAATTTAACGTATGACCAGGAACTGAAAGTCCATTAAATTACTCAGTGCTATTTCGTAGGAAAATTGAATTCAACAAAACATGAATCTTTTTGTTTACATTTACAGTTATGTGCTGGTTTTGACTTGTTATGCAGAGTTTTAATAACATGATTTATTGTATGCCAGTATATCCTGTGGTTATGTTAAGGCTGGAATTGACAGCCATTTGATGTGTTGGAGTATCACGATGTAATGATGTAATTATTTATTACTGGCATTTAGAAAGTGCCAACATATTCCGCAGCACTGTGCAATTGGGGAAAAAGACAATACAGTATAAACAGACCATTACAAAAGATAGAAAGTGCTGCCCGTGAGCCTAAAGATCTTTTATTCAGAGTACATTGCTAGATAGCCTGTGAGCCTATAATCTAAAGATAAATTTAAAAGGTTATAAAAAGAGGTTGCGTCGGGAATGTGGATGTAAATTGTAGATTATGCTAACGTAGTGTACCTATAATCTCAATTTTGGTAATGACAGGAGGCAAATATTTTACATAACTCTCTTTACTGAAAACTCCAGCAGCACAGATCATAACAGAACAAGCAATCAAAAAACTACACGTTCCACAAAAGGTCCTGCCAGTCTAAGCTCCTCCTCTTTCTGTGTAGCGACAGTAATAACATTATAGTCAGAAATAGTAAAACAAGTCATAAGGAACCATTAAAAACAATGTAGCAATCCATAAACCAGATGAGGAGTCTTCCAGAGAAACCGCAGAAGGAGGTCTTGCCGTGGACGTAACCGATCACACTGAAAGAAAACAAAAAGAAGTGAAAGGCATTTGAAATGGTACGTTGTCCATCTTACAATAACCATGTAATAATCTTGAATTAATTTAAATTAGGCTAAATAATTCTAACAGTTGAACACGATAAAATAGATGTGCTATGGCCATGAAACATTCCAAACCTAAATCCTAACAGTGAAAATTACAAACCAAGGAACAGAAGGCCAAGGGTGGTAAGAAAAGAAGGGTGGGGAAATATTCGCCTCCTGTCATTACTCTTAATTAAGATTATAGGTACACTACATTAGCATAAGCTACAATCTTACCATTTATGACAGGAGGCTTCATATTTTGCATTTGAAATGCTGAGGATTTATAAAAGTGAAAGAAGCACGAGAAGAATGTCTATTGTAAAACAGTGCAAACAGTCACCCCAGACTAGTGATCCCGGCCATAGACAATAGCCAGCGAATCCAGGCTTGACTAAGTCCAGGGAGCGCCTCAGTGAGCCAAAAACAGAAAATGAAATACATAGAGCTATAAAAACTCTAAAATCAGGGAAAGCGATGGCTTTACGGCCGAATATTAAAACCCTGGAACTACAAACTGGCCCCACTCTCAAAAACCTATTCAGCCAAATATATCTGGAGGGTCTACTGATTGATTCCCCTAATCAGGCATGAATCAATGTTCTCTCCAAACTTAAAAGATGTTGAAGCATTGGCCTCTTACCATCCGATCTCATTGCTTAACCAGGACGTTAAACTCGTAACTAACATCATAGCATTGAGGTTGCAAATATG